ATTAATACATTATTAAGAGAGGAATAAGACAAAAACCCAATTAGCTAAGGTAGGGCAAACTCCAATTATCCCTCGTCAGAGCATTGTGTACGACATATTTGGCTGCACAAAGAATTGTTTCCCTTAAATGCAACTTCTTATTATATTTTTGAAATAGAATACTCATGTTTTGTTTTGTATTAGCTGTGATTTTTTTCTTTATTCCAAAGAAAAATAATATTATTCTTAAACATATTATAGTTTTGTCCATGATTAGGGCGAAGATTGGGGCTGGCTAGCAGGAGCTTTGGCTTTCCAACTTTTTTTTAAAAAAAAAATTCCCAAATTATATGAGAATTTCATTGGCATTTTATGTAATATTAAAGTTTTTCCATATATGCCCTTCCAATTTTATTTTTTTTTGGTCCCTAATTTGAGAATTCTAACTCTAGTGTCTACAATACTTTCTATTGATGTGAATTCTCTCTATTACATGAATAGAATAGAAATGTTTATTTTATGATAAATGATTATGAAAGAGATATATCAACATATCTTTATTTCAAATTCAACCAAATCTTGTGTTCAATAAATCAAAATAGACTACATGAATTCTTTTTTGATACTTTATCTTTTATTTTATTTATTTTATATTTTTGGGAAAAACTTACAATTACATGTGCATGATTTGACTGCTGAGTGTTTTGATTTTTGTTTTTTTTTTAAGGATAATTTCAGTGAACTTTTAAATAGTGGTTGTACAAAACAGACATGTTTTTCATATGAAGTGAGAGCCAACCAAGATTCTAAAAATGCTTGTGGGAACACAACCCCACCACTAAAAAGCACAAAAGCTCCTCAGGTTGCCTCCAACCAATCACCCCACCCCACTCAATTTAGAGCATGCATATTGGCACCACAATTTTCAAAAGATAGGCACAGTGTGATTGGTTGATTGATAGTAAAGTCTCCATATATCTGAACTTAAACAATATATATTTTTATTTCCTTGTAATAATTAGTGTTCCATATCTATAATTATATATATATATTTATATGAATTGTAAATTTTTTTTATAAGAAAAATAAATATAACAAATGCAACATATCTTCAATTAATTATTTTATGTTTGCTTTTATTCAAAATTTAAAAATAATGTATGGGGAAAAATTTATAACTAAATTAAGGAAAAATTTATTCTTAACGACATTTTTTTACTCCTATATAAATACTTAAGAAAATAAACTTGAAAAAGGTAGTCAATATAAATATTATACATTAAGTAAAAAATGTGGTTAGCAATTATGCTTACATAAATTTACTATAGTTTTAATTTCAATTTGAAAAAAAAAAAACAAACAAACAAACAAACTATTTTAAAAGCATTTTATTTAGCTAGGACCAAACATAATTTTCTTAGCAAAAAGGAAAGTTAAAAGATTTTGTTACAAATTTTCAAATGTCTATTCGTAAGCATTCTATTCTACTTGCTTGCTTGCTTGTTTGTTTGCTTGCTTTGGGAGTTTTGATCTTTGCTCTATATTCATCGTATTGTTTTTTTTATTTCTCTTTTTTTTGCTTGATTTTCGCATGATACTTCTTTCACAGTGCATCTTCGAGTATATTAGTGAAAACATAATACACTTAAAATGTTATAATATATAGAAAAAAAAAGTAATTGCCCAAAACTAAAACTACTTTAGGAAAAAATAAAAAATAAAAACAAAAATGAAATTGTTTGCAATAGAAAATGATTTATTTATTTATTAATTAATTTTTAAAAATAAACTTTTAAAGAAAACAAAGAAAATTATATATAAAAAAAAGGGTAGAAATCAAACACAAAATATAATACAAAAAATAAAATAAATTATAGGATTTTCAAAAAGTGAGACTCAAACAAATTTTATAAAATCTTGTCTATTTATATACTTTTTATGTATGTTTTTTGTACTTCCAATCCCGAGAATGACATTGAAATAGTTTGCACTTCTTACATTAGGTCCATCTAATAATTTTAGCAAACACAGATGTAATAAATTTCATAATACAAAACACAAACAATTGTGAGACAAGATATCTAAAAAAATGAAAACAACATTCAATGATGGTGTAAAAGCACACCTGACATTTTAATTAGAGGTATAATCAGATAAATCGCTATAGAAGGAGAAGACAACCTTTATTTTTCATCACAACAATTACATAACTCAATATATAATTTTAATATCTCTCGCTCTTCCATACATTCAATTCTTTATCAATATTAGAATGAATGCATGAACCAAAAAAATGGAATATTTGAAAAGACAAAGGGATGTGGTTTGAGATCTTTCAATTGCTGAATTCTATTAATTAATGGTTATTATGCTTCAATGGTCGAGTTTCTAATATTTGTTAGCTATTATAAAGCTGAATTCTTTGGTTTCATCAATATTCACTTGATAATTTGAGAGTGGACACGTGTCAAGCCTTTATACAAATACTTAGAACATTTTTTTTAGCATTATTAATGAAATGCACAATGAATTTCTTTTTCTATTTTTTTTCACAGTTGCAACATGTTATTTTTTAATAAGAATTTATATTTTTTTACATATTTTTTTAATATACAAATTATTTTTTATAGTGTAATTTTTTTCTTTTTTTCCCCCCTCAATTGCAACCTGTCTTTTTAATAAGAATTTATATTTGTTCTAGATATTTTCTTAATATAGAAATTATTTTTTTTAGATTTTAATGAAATGCACAGTTTTTTTTTTCTCCACGATTGCACATGTTATTCTTTTAATAAGAATTTATATTTGTTTTAGATATTTTTAATATACAAATTATTTTTTTAGATTTTTAATGAAATACCAGTGTAATTTTTTTTTTTTTGTCTTTCTTCTTCTTCTTCTTTTTTTTTTTTTTTTTTTTTTACAATTGCAACCTATTATTTTTAATAAGAATTTTTATTTTTTTTTTTGAAATTTTTAATATACAAATTATTTTTACAGTGTATTTTTTTTTCGACAATTGCAATTTGTTATTTTTATATAAATTTATATTTGTTTCAGATATTTTTTAATATACAAATTATTTTTTTTTAAATTTTTTTTATAAAATAATTTAATAATCACATCACTAACCATTGTGTATAGTAACATAATTTAAGTAAGAAGAATCCAAATTTGAAATTTTATTTTAAGAATGTAAAATTAATTTATAGACCAATCATATTGCAACATGTATTAACAAAAAATTAAACAAAATAAAAGAAAAATAAGAAAAAATAATTACAACTTCAACCTTAATGAAATGACAATTTTTTACAATTATAATAGTATTAGATAAATCATAGAATAATCATTATTTGAAACTTATATATTATCAGATAAAATTATTATAATTTTAAATTTAAATTTAATGGAATGCTTTCCATATTTTAGTGCCCCTCAAATTTGAATTTTGAAATGAATTAGTATATTTTCTATTTTTTATTTTTATATTTTGATATACTTTCCATTTGAAAGTTATAAATATAGAGATATTAAATATTTTTTAAACAAAATTATAATTAAAAAAGATGAGAAAAAGAATTACAACTTTCAACCTTAATGAAATGACAATATTTTACCAATTACATAGACATATAGATATATAAGATAAATCATAGAATAGATTCATTATTAAAATCTTATCTTATTATGGGATAATCCTTTAATTTTAAATTTAAATTAATGGATGTTTCCATATTTAGCGCCCCTTAAATTTGAATTTTGAAATGGATTAGTATACTTTTTTTTTTACTTTATATATTAATATATTTTTCATTTGAAAGTCATAAATCTAGAGATATTAAATTAATATAATATATATAATATATATTTGCTTGAATGAGAGCTATAGAGGTTTTAATTATTTAAAATCAAAAAATTAGAAATTTTAGTTTGAGATATTAGAACTCCAACAAGACTTGTGATTAGAAATTCTTTTTTACTTATATAATATATAGATGGAAAGATAGATAGATAGCTTTAATAAGAATTTATATTTGTTGTAGATATTTTTTTAATATACAAATTATTTTTTTTATAGATTTTTTATAAAAATAATTTAACAATCCCACGACTAACCATAGTATATGGGAGAAGTTAGAGAGGGTGTAGCAGTAGGTATTGGAGAAGTCAAAAAAGCTTGTGGGTTGGAAAAAGTCAATAAATGTTGAGTCTTTTTTTTAAATCAAAAAATTAGAAAATTAAGATTGAGATATTGGAGCTTCCACAAGGCTTATGGGTTAGTAACCTCCTTTTCCTTATATACTATATAGATAGATATAGATAAATGACATAGTTCTAATACTTCACTATTTTAGAATTAAAATATATGAATTTTAAAAAATTGTCATATTGGTTTTTGAAAGAGAAATAATTAAAGAAATTTTAAAAACTTAATGAGTAAGAAATAATTATCGTAACATGTAAAACCACTTTGAACCAGCAAATCATTCAAACCAAAAACAGTTTAGTTTAATTAGTTAGGTCAAAATATTAACCAAATTACACAAAAATTAATTAATTAAACTTTTAAGTTTTATTTTATCAAAATTTAAACTGTATGGAAAGCAATCTTTTAATTTAAATTTAAAATTGACACAATATAAATTTAAAATGATAATAATCTATCCCATGATTTGTAAGTTTTGAATACAAATTTAAAATTATCATAATTATCTCATAATTTTTGTATTAAGGAGTAGTAAGTGTGACATTGAGATTATCAATATATCTATATACTAGCGTATGCCCGTACCTGAAGGTACGGTGTAATTAATGATGACATTAAAATATAAATCAAAATTAGAGAGGGATGTATTCAAATTTTTTGTTTTTTTTTTCTCTTTTCAAAGAGTAGGTAATGAATTCACGGGAAGGAAAAAAATCCCTAAATGAAGACATGCAATAGTTTTTGATAAAATCACACAATATAAAATCACATTCAAAGAACAAAATATCCTCACAAAGGAGAAAAAAAAAAATCAGACAACTCAAGAAATGGGTATTGATAAGAATACAAACACAATTCTAGATCTTCAATTTGCACGAACAAAATGATAAAATAATAATAATAATTAAAAGGAAAAAAAAGAAAAAAGAAACAGGATGAATCAATGAATGAATAAGGAATTGGTACAAACATCCATCCAAACAATGGTGTTATAGAGATGGAGGCCAATAGATTTGCTCCAAACGACCGTTGTTTCTCTCTGATCGGTGAGTCCGATTGCCTTAAGTCCACTGTCAACATTGTGCCCATCTACAGTGGCTTTGTCAATTGCCTTGCTCATACAAATCTTCACACTCTCCATAATCTCCATCGGATCGTGCTCTATCCATCTGCAGATTCACAAACAAAACAACAATAAAAAAACAGAACAATCACAGAGAGAGATAGATACATAGAGAGTGAGTTCTTCATACCCTGCTTGTGGGTAGAACTGGCGTGGAGATGACTGGAGAAAGTGGCACAGGTGATGACTGGATGAGGTGATGAGCATCACCATGGCTGAGGGTGGGTGTTTTGAAAATTGAAAATTTGGAGTGAGACTGAAAGAAAAAAAGAGGAGAGTTTATAGAGAGAGTTCGATAAGCGTGGGTCTCTTTTTTGTAGGGAGTGGATGGATGTGTTTTGAAATTTAAAAAGTGGATAGGTGAGGTGCGATAGATAAGGATATAAGCGTGGGTCTCTTTTTTGTAGGGAGTGGATGGGTGTGTTTTGAAATTTAAAAATGGGATAGGTGAGGTACGATAGATAAGGATATAAAATCTTACATGCTCTCTTAACAATGACCTTAAACTTCTTGTATTCCTTCGAACCATCATCACCAATGAACATCACCACAAACTGTGCAGTGCACACTAGAAAAGTTCCAATTATAAGAGCAAATCAATGTAAGTACTTATTTTGGCAGGTAGATAAAGGCAGATATAACAGACTTTTAAAATGGAAGATCACGAAGAATACACAGATGAAGTCATCATTCACCTATTGCACAAAATTCTTACGATCGATGGATTTGATGAACAAAATTGCAAAAGCATGAATAAAGGTAATTACCATAAAAAATCTCACACACACTCTTCCGAAGCATGTAGTAAAGACTTCGAAATGCATCCTCCCATGCCAATTGTCGTTTGCTGAAGAAATCCATTTGGACTGAACAAAGAAAAAAATATTAAAGATTTAAATTTTAGAATTAAAACAAAAAATGGTATTACAAAACGTTACTATTCTTCCATTTTTTATCCTTCACTCTTATCTACCAATTCGTCTACTTTATATTTCTATAAACCAACAAAACCCAATAAAAATACGTCAAAAAAATATTAAGAATTTTCAACATAAAATAAAATCAATAAAAAATTCACAAAATTTAAATATGTACCTGAATTCTGTTGGTGGTGGTCCCTAACTGAATCCTATAAAGAAAAATTTTAAGATGACCACAAAGAGTGAAAAAGAATATTTGCACCTAATTTATAGAGAAATTATTTTCAAATAGAGAAGCATACATATAGAAAGATTGATTGGTTACATAACATAACAATTTTGAAAGATAGATTGGTTACATAACATAACAATTTTGAATTTTGAATTTGGGTTTTCTTAGATAGATATTGAGTTTTCTTATTTTATAGATATAGATAAAGAAAAATGGTGATACTCATCTTTTTCAAAATCATAAATTATGGGATAAATATAGATTGAGTTTTTTTATTTTATAGATACAGATATATTTTTCAAATTCATAAATCATGGGATAGATAGATACTGAGTTTTCTTATTTTATAGATATAGATAAAGAAATAGGGTGATACTCATCTTTTTCAAATTAGATAATGGTGTCGCCAATTTTGAATTTTAAATTTTATTGCTTGATAGGCTAACCAATTAAATTTTTTTTTTGTTTTGTTTATGGTGATACTCATCTTTTTCAAATTCATAAACGATGGGATAATAGTGTCGTCAATTTTGAATTTTAAATTTTATTGCTTGATGGGCTAACCAATTAATTTTTTTTTTTGTTTTGTAGGGAGTGGATGGGTGTCATAAATCATGGGATGGATAGATATTGAGTTTTCTTATTTTATAGATATAGATAAAGAAAAATGTTGATACTCATCTTTTTCAAATTCATAAATCATAGGATAGATAAGGATGGGTGGTTGCAAAGTTTGGGGCTCTTAGGCGGGAAATTTAGGTAGAGTGAGAGAGAAGGTTTTCATCTGAGCTGTCCATGTTAATATACAAATGAATCATGACCCTTAAAATGTCCTAGTAGGACAAATGTCTCTAGGATATTTTCAAAATCCGTCCTGCTTTATTATATAGATTCTACAAAAAAATACTTTTAAGGGGAGATATTATGAGAGTTCAAAATCTCATACGAAATTATTTTTAAAATCAAAACATCTATGTGGGATTGTAAAATAAAAGTTAAATAGAAGTTAGCCAATGTGAATTTTCTTAATTGTTTAAAATAAAAAAAAATAAAAAAAATTAGTATGAGATATTGATCATAAGGCTTCTCACTAGAAATCTCCTTTTGCTTATATAAATGAGAGTATAAGATTCACTTTATGTAAGTAAAATAATTCACTTTTTTCTTCTTTTCTCGATGTGGGATTGTAAAATAAAAACAATTCGCTTTTTTCTTCTTTTCTTGATGTGATTGCAAAATAAAAATTAAATGGAATTTAGCGAAAGGAAATTTTTTAATTGTTTAAAATTTAGAAAATTCAACAATTTATATAAATGGGAGTAAAATATTTACTTTACGTAAGTGAAACAATTCACTTTTTCCTTCTTTTTTCGATGTAGGATTGTAAAATAAAAGTTAAATAGAAGCTAGCCAGTGGAAATTTTCTTAATTGTTTAAAATTAAGAAAATTCAATAATTTTAGAATAGGGATTTGGAGCTCCTAAAAAACTTCTCTAAAAACCCCATTTTCCTTATATAATATATAAGTGAAATAACTCAATTTTTCCTTTTTTTCCCGATGTGGGATTGTGTAAAATAAAAGTTAACAATTGTTTGGGTGGAAAGTTTATTTCGAATCAAGTAATCTCAGTTATTTAATATTTAATTAGGTCAATCTTTAATTATTTTGAATCAAACAAATCTAACAAATATATTTTGATAAAACCACTAAAATCGCGGTTAAACCAGCGAATTAGTCAAACTAAAAACGGTTCACCCTATTGGCTAGGTCAAAAGACCAACCAACTTATACAAAAATTAATTAATTAAAACTTTTAAAATTTATTTTAATTTTAAAATATAAACTTTCTTGAGCTAAAAATACACAACACTACAATATTAAATTGGAGCATAAGGTTTATATAGTGAACAACTCATTTTTTTATCCTTTTCGTGATATGAGATTTTAAAATAAAAGTTAACAATTATTTGGATGAGAAGTTTATTTCTAATCAAGCAATCTCAATTGTTCAATTTTTAATTAGGTCAATATTAGTTATTTCAAATCAAACAAATCTAAGCAATATATTTTGATAATACAGCTAAAATCGTGGTTAAACTAATGAATCAGTCAAACCGAAAATGATTCAGCCTAATCGGCTAAGTCAAAAACCAATCAATTTACAACAAAATTAATTAATTAAAACTTTCAAATTTTATTTTAAAATTTAATCTTGAATTGAAACATGCATAATACTATTAAATGAGAGTATAAAGTGAAAACAACTCACTTTTTCTTTCTTTTCTTGATGTGAGATTGTAATTATTTTAAAGTTAAATATTATGAGAGTTTCAAAATCTCATACAAAATTATTTTTAAAATCAAAATCTCTATGTGGGATTGTAAAATAAAAGTTAAATAGAAGCTAGCCAATAGGGTTTTGTTAATTGCTTAAAATTAAGAAAATTAAATAAATAAATAAATAAATAAATAACTGGTATGAAATATTAATCATAGGGTTTTTGGCTAAAAAATTTCTTTTATTTATATAAATGGAAGCATAAGATTCACTTAATGTTAATGAAACAATTCAATTTTTCCTTCTTTCCCCAATGTGGGATTGTAAAATAAAAATTAAATGGAAGCTAGCCAATGATGATTTTCTTAATTGTTTAAAATTAAGAAAATTCAATAATTTATATAAATGGGAACATATGATTCACTTTATGTAAGTGAAACAATTCACTTTATTTATTTATTTTTTATTTTTTATCCCGATGTGAGATTGTAAAATGAAAGTTAAATGGAAGCTAGTAAATGAAAATTTTCTTAATTATTTAAAATGAAGAAAATTTAATAATTTTAGAATGAGGGTTTGGAGCTCCTAGAATGCTTCCTTCTCAAAACCCCCTTTATAAGATTCACTTTATATGAGTGAAACAACTCACCTTTCCTTTTTTTTTTTTTTTTTTTCTTGATGTGGGATTTTAAATAAAAATTAACAATTGTTTAGGCGAGAAGTTTATTTCTAATCAAGTAATCTCAGCCTTTCAATCTTTATTTACTAGAAGACTTCTCCTTCAAAACCTCATTTATAAGATTCGCTTTATATAAGTGAAACAACTACTTCTTTTTTTTTCTTTTTTTTTTTCTTGATGTAAGATTGTAAAATAAAAATTAACAATTGTTTGGGCGAGAAGTTTATTTCTAATCAAGCAATTTTAGCCTTTCAATCTTTATTTAGGCCAATTTTTAGTTTAATTCGAATCAAACAAATCTGACCAATATATTTTGTTAAACTACTAAAATCACGGTTATACTAGCAAATCATTCAAACCAAAAATGATTCAACTTAATCAATTAGGTTAAAAGACCAACCAGCTTACACAAAAATTAATTAATTAAAATTTTTAAATTTTATTTTATTAAAATTTAAACTGTTACTAAATATGGTAAATATAAATTTAAAATTATAATAATCTATCCCATGATTTGTAAGTTTTAAATACAAAATTCAAATTATCATAATTATCTCATAATTTTTATATTAAGGAGCAGTAAGAGTGGCATTGAGATTATCAATATATATATATATATATATATTACAAAAGAATACTTTTAAAGAGAGATATTATGAGAGTTTCAAAACCTCATACAAAATTATTTTTAAAATCAAAACCTCTATATAGGATTGTAAAATAAAAGTTAAATGCAAGCTAACCAATGAGAATTTTCTTAATTGTTAAAAATTAAGAAAATCAAAAAAATTAGCATGACATATTGATCATAGTGCTTCTCACTAAAAATCTCATTTTGCTTATATAAATGGGAGTATAAGATTCATTTTATGTAAGTGAAACAATTCACTTTTTATTTCTTTTCCCGATGTAAAATCAAAACCTCTATGTGAGATTGTAAAATAAAAGTTAAATTGAAGCTAGCCAATGGAAATTTTCTTAATTGCTTAAAATTAAGAAAATCAAAAAAATTAATATGAGATATTGATCATAAGACTTCTCATTAAAAATGTCATTTTACTTATATAAATGGGAATATAATATTCACTTTATGTAAATGAAACAATTCACTTTTTCTTTCTTTTTCCGATGTAGGATTGTAAAATAAAAGGTAAATGAAAGCTAACCAATAGAAATTTTCTTAATTGTTTAAAATTAAGAAAATTTAATAATTTTAAAATGAGGATTTAGATCTCTTAGAAAGCTTCTCTCTAAAAACCCCATTTTCTTTATATAATATATTGATAGATATAGATTAGTATATACTTGTGCTTAAAGGCATGGTGCAATTAATTTATCAAATTCATTGCTAAAAATTTGAGGTCAAAGTATAAATATAGATTCGGTTGGTTTCGACTTTTAAACGAATTTTGTAAAATTACCCAAGCATAAATGCACCCCAATAAAATTAAAATAAAAATTGGAAAATGTAATTTATTGTAAGAAAATGTCGCGTGGAGCTATGTTTTTTTTTTATAAAAAAAATAAAAATAAAATAAAAAATAAATGCACCCCAATAAAAGTTTTGTTTAAAAAAAATAAAAATAAAAATAAAAACTCTTTTTCGGTCTTTAAACAAATAACACCATCCTTATAATCTCTCTTTTCTCTCTCTTTCTCATTTGCCTTGTCACGCCCCCAAAATAATACAAATAAACCAATTCATAAGGGAAGTGAACATAATAGAATTAATATCATTTTATTCATCAGAGTTCATAATACAAAAGATATTTCATGCATTATACATTCATAAATGTTCATCCTGAATCTATAGCATGTAACATTAGTTAATAATTAATGAAATAAATACCCTACGGGCTTACATCTTTCCAAGATATCGCTTGGTTACAACAAAAGCGAGTCCTAAGCTCTATACATGTTAAGCCCTCTGCTTGAATAAACGTTTAAACACAAAACAACAAAATAGAGTCTCAACCTAAGTCTTCCCAAGCTATGTCTTTGGAGGAAGCATGTCACGAGTACCTGAAATTGGTTTCTCAAGTAGGGTGAGCCAAAGCCCAGTAGAAACAGTCCAATACAATGTATGAAGTTTAACTAAGATTAAAGTGTCAGATAAATGTTCAACATTCATGATCAACTTACATTC